GAAGCCAGAGTGGGCGAAAATCCCACAATCTAAAATTGACGAGATGATTCTCACGATGCCCCAAAGGATCAACGAACTCCACGAAGCAAAAGGAAGATCTACTAGATATTAATCAAATTATAAATATATCAATTCATCTGAATATGACTGAAAATTTACATTTTTTTCTGAAAAGGTGGTGTCTATTTACTTGTGACCACGCTGTGTACTTTTTAACTTTTTTGAAAACTAGGTGATGTATAGGTTCAAAGCTTAATATTTTTATAGGTACACGCTTACACTCACATTAATATATATACATATATATATATATATCATTATTAGGTATTAATTCGTCAGATAACTTTCATTTTTTATTGCATTCTGCATTTCCTGCTGTGTAGTTTGTACCATAGAATTAATTATTTATCCTACGCATATATATATACATTTATGAAGAATTGACGAGTTTTATGTTAGGCTTATAAGAACTAAACTTGACTTCTGTGATTATACGATAGCACTAAATCGATTTAGGATAACTATGTGCCCACATCCGAAACCACGTGGAGTATTCAGGATGTGAAGAGCACATACTGCCCTTGTTCTACTCTTGACTCTATTAATGATACAAACATGTTAGTAGCAGAACGACTCCTTAACTATACGAATACGAAGACCTTATATAAAGACTACGTTTCTAAGTAGCGATACACCAGTTTTGAAGGGGTTTCGAAAATGTTATGATTCTGATCCACTGAAACAAAATCATTACGGCTTTGTTTAGTGCGTCCTTCACCAGCTACTTAATGCCATTCCTTTTAAAGTCAGCTTGTAACAGGCTACTACAAACTTTAGACCAAGTATCTTGACAGCCCTTACGCGGACTTTTCGCTAAACGAGAACTTCAGTTTCCAAGGCACAAAAGTCAATTGGAGTCACATCTGGAGACTCGTAACACCGTAAAAAACAAACTTCCGCCTTAAGAAATAAAATAACATTCTCTGTTCAAACGTAAAATATTCTTCTGCTTAAAGCCACGCCAATCCCAATTTAAATATGAAAGTAGACTAAGTCATACTTTTTTCTCTCTTCTCATACATTATAAATTAATTTTGCTGTGTGAATTGTGTTAGAAAATGTAATATGCCAAACGTGAAATAATATTCTTTGTGGATTTTTTTTTAGTTACTTATTTTAGTTGCATTTATATTCAATCAAATCTTCCAGTCCGTTCAGATAGTGGCCAAGCACGGCTTTATATTTATTGTGCCAGTACTGTGAATTCGAGGGTTAACGATTCGCGTCCCATTGCCGCCAATAAATCTCACTCCTCCTTTTGGAGTTGTGAGTGCGCTACAACAGTGAAAGTCAAATCCTACTATTCGATCAGGCAAGAGCTGACGGTGGATGATGTTGACCAGTTGCCTTGTTTCTAATCTATCAAATCGCAATTAGGAACGGCTAAGCGTGGGGAGCCTTTTTTGTAGATTTGGGCGAAATCTTAAAATAAAACACAACAAAAAACATTAAATTAACCTGTAATAGTTTCTTGAATTAATATGTTAATGGTTTTTGCGATAGTGAAAATAAATTTTGAAGTTTGAGGTTGTAACTTTCAGACTATAATCATTATAACTGGTATTGGGGAATTAGTGATATTGTTTGCAAGTGCTTTGGGTAGATAAAAGTATGTGGACTGGAACAAATTGAGTAAAATGTATATATTTGTTTATTTTAGAGAGAAAAATATAGAAATCACAATAGTAACACATTATTTGTTACATGCTAAAATATTTAATACATAAACTCTCACTTCATTGGTTAAAAATCAAGTTAAAGTATATGTCTTATTATCTTTATAGACCTGTGAGATGTCATGGCATTTGAGCCCCTGTAAAACAACTTTTTGTGCAGTGTGGAAAAAGCGAGTGGTTAAGCCTACTAGACATATATTTCAACTCAACAGCAGCTTTTCAATTATGAATTATTGTTCTTCCATCGCATTAATACATGTATATATATTAGGTCGCCAAGAAATTAATATCGCTTTTTTAGATGAAAAAAACCTAACAACTTATATTTCAAAACAAAACATTTATTAAATGA